GCCAGGCAGCCGTAGAATAATATTTAACATTTTGTGTGTTTGCCACATTTTGGAATGTGTAATAATTTAAAAATAACCTGGCGAATATGTAGCAAGCCGTTCGCCGATAAATAAGTCAGCCAAAAATATCACAAAGCCAGACAAGAACGACACCTTTAGTCAAAGAATCCCATTCTCATCACGATTTGGGTTCTGTGCGAAGATGATGCCCGCTTGCCAGGTGTCTGTGTGAGTTTTCCGGCCCATTGCCCATCATTTTACAGCTGCACTGAGGTCAGTGATGGGGACAGGATCTCCTGGTTCCCCAATCCCCAATCCCCAAGCCCCTTACCACATACCCCAATCCCATCCCCATTTGCCTACCTCCACCTCAAGACAGAAATCACTCAGCGGCCGTTGGGTGTCTTCTAATTCTTTCATGTTTCGTGTGCCAGCTACACAAAATTAGGTCAAAATTGTTATGATCACAGATACACACATGCACACACTTCTCGGGCCCCGCTGCTATGCAGCTATATATAGATCGACTTCAGCTTTATAGAGTGTGTGCCAACTTGACGCGCAGCCACTTTCTGCAAGATACTCCTCCTTTTGCCCAGGAGCGTAGCAGAGTGGAGCAGCGTGGAGTGGCTGCCAGATAAGCTCAAGTGGGCGCCATCTGAGGCTCCAACGAGGTGGGTGGCGCTGTAAACTCCTAGCCATCGGGTGGTATGAATATAAATAGCTGCCTAATGCACTCTGAGCAAACAACAAAGGGCTCTAATGCGTTGCAGTTCCCTGGAAAATCGACCACTTTGCTTCCCGGTTCTTGAGTTTTCGCGAATTTTCCGCTTTTCGTTGACAACTTGCAATCATCTGGCTGATGAATCACAAACGCCACTCTCATAACGCCAAAAGCCATTGTAGATGGCAATGGATATGGGCCGCTGACAAATCTGGGATTTTGCATGTCCCGATGGCACCCACTATCCGTTGGCCTTTTAGCCAACTAGAATCGACATCGGGCTGTGACGTGGCACACAATCTGACTCATTCGGATGAAAAATACGGCAAAGATGCTGAGATATATGCTGTGCAAGATATATGGGCTGGTGGGTGCAAGAAAGCGTGAAATATTCTATAATATTCAGAGCCGATCTAGCTCAAGAGTTGTGCTCAAAAAAAAATTACCTGCGCTATAAGGTATTAGGATTCTATAATCAAATGGAACACAGTTTTCTCCTTGAGTAATAAACAAGAATTTCAGGAAGCACGTAATCTGTTTAATAATAGGTACAGCATTTATAAATAGACAGCCAAAATAAAACTACTATTACCAATACTTAGGACTATATTTTTGTATCTACACATTTACTCTTTCCCTTGCATGTTGATCTTACCAATGAAATGTGTTGTTGACAGATTTATTCTATGCCAGAGTTTCATTAGCACTGTATGCACCATGTCAGCAAAATGAAAAGGTAATTTTATATACATTTTTATAAGATACCAAACCAAATAAAAAATGTTCGACGTAAATAAAAAGCTACTGAAAAATAATTATATTTCCATGTTTTTAAGGGTATTTTATGTTCGTGTATCATATTTTTAGGATTTTGTCTAAGCGATTAATCATCAAAAATATTTGCATTTCGTGATGCTAAATGCAATCGAAATTAAATTATTGTAGCCGGTGAAAAAATTACAGTTGACGTTTCTAATTAAAATGAAATGATTGTGTGAGGTTTGCGCTAAATATTCGTTAAATGTAAATATTCTTAGCAACGGTGTCATCGAAAACTTTTGCTGTCGGTTTCATTATGATTAATGATGCATATATGTATATAAGATTGAACATTTCTGTATTTCAATGATATATATAACAAGATACAAAGTACATCAAAAGTTAGGAAAGCATTAATTTTTTTTGTTTTATTTAATTTGCCTATTTTTTTGTTTCACATAAAATAAAAAAACACTTCCTTTAAAAAAGAATAAGTAATTAAAAAGATTCTTAGCCAATGCACAAACCTACAAAGAGCTAATACATAGGTGGCGCATCATACGGAACTGATTTAATACTCATCATATAGAGGTCGCTTATGTAGTTTATAAGGTAAGTGTAGACAATTTGTATATTTATACCTGTTATTCGTAGAATAAAAGGGTATACTAGGTTGGTTGAAAAGTATGTAACAGGCAGAAGGAAACGTTTCCGACCATATAAAGTATATATATTCTCGATCATGATCAATAGCCGAGTCGAACTGGCCATTTCCGTCTGTCGGTATGAACACCTCGATCTCAGGAACTACAAAAGCTAGAATGTTGAGATTAAGCATGTGACTTCCAGAGACATTTAGAAAGCTTAAGTTCTAACATCCATAACTTATCTCAACTTAACTTAACTTATCTTAATCGGATTTTCAAATGCATTCAAAATTAAAAATGTATTTCTTAAAAATTTTTTTTTTTGATTCTTCGATGTATGATGTACAAATTCAAGAAAATGAGAAAATGTCCCAAGAATGAAGTTCTAAACCCCATAACTCAACTTATCTTAATCGGATTTTGAAGGTGCATACCTCTAAATGTTTCTGGCGCAATTCTCTAAACATCTGCATTCAAATTTAGAAATTTATTTTTTTTACATTTTTTTTTAATTTTTCTGATGTATGATGTTGTACAAATTCAAAAAAATGAAGAAATGCCCCAAGGCTGAAGTTCTAAACTCAGCTGATCTTAATCGGATTTTGAAGTGGCATACCTCTAAATGTTTCTGGCGCAATTCTCTAAAAAACTGTATTCAAATTTAAAAATTTATTTAAAAAAAAATTTTTTTTTAATTTTTTTTGATGTGGTGATGTAGAAATTCAAAAAAATGAAGAAATGCCCTAAGGCTGAAGTTCTAAACTCAGCTGATCTTAATCGGATTTTGAAGTGGCATACCTCTAAATGTTTCTGGCGCAATTCTCTAAAAAACTGTATTCAAATTTAAAAATTTATTTAAAAAAAAATTTTTTTTTAATTTTTTTGATGTGGTGATGTAGAAATTCAAAAAAATGAAGAAATGCCTTAAGGCTGAAGTTCTAAACTCCATAACTCAGCTGATCTTAATCGGTTTTTGAAGTGGCATTCCTCTAAATGTTTCTGGCGCAATTCTCTAAAAAACTGCATTCAAATTCAAAAATTTATTTTTTTTTTAATTTTTTTTAATTTTTTTGATGTGGTGATGTAGAAATTCAAAAAAATGAAGAAATGCCCTAAGGCTGAAGTTCTAAACTCCATAACTCAGCTGATCTTAATCGGATTTTGAAGTGGCATACCTCTAAATGTTTATGGCGCAATTCTCTAAAAAACTGCATTCAAATTAAAAAATTTATTTTTTTTTAATTTTTTTTAATTTTTTTGATGTGGTGATGTAGAAATTCAAAAAAATGAAGAAATGCCCTAAGGCTGAAGTTCTAAACTCCATAACTCAGCTGATATTAATCGGATTTTGAAGTGGCATACCTCTAAATGTTTCTGGCGCAATTCTCTAAAAAACTGCATTCAAATTAAAAAATTTATTTTTTTTTTAATTTTTTTGATGTGGTGATGTAGAAATTCAAAAAAATGAAGAAATGCCCTAAGGCTGAAGTTCTAAACTCCATAACTCAGCTGATCTTAATCGGATTTTGAAGTGGCATACCTCTAAATGTTTCTGGCGCAATTCTCTACAAAACTGCATTCAAATTTAAAAAATTTTTTTTTTTTAATTTTTTTTTGTTTTTTTTTGATGTGGTGATGTAGAAATTAAAAAAAATGAAGAAATGCCCTAAGGCTAAAGTTCTAAACTCCATAACTAAGCTGATCTTAATCGGATTTTGAAGTGGCATACCTCTAAATGTTTCTGGCGCAATTCTCTAAAAAACTGCATTCAAATATAAAAATTTATTTTTTTTTAATTTTTTTTTAATTTTTTTGATGTGGTGATGTAGAAATTCAAAAAAATGAAGAAATGCCCTAAGGCTGAAGTTCTAAACTCCATAACTCAGCTGATATTAATCGGATTTTGAAGTGGCATACCTCTAAATGTTTCTGGCGCAATTCTCTAAAAAACTGCATTCAAATTTAAAAATTTATTTTTTTTTTAATTTTTTTTAATTTTTTTGATGTGGTGATGTAGAAATTCAAAAAAATGAAGAAATGCCCTAAGGCTGAAGTTCTAAACTCCATAACTCAGCTGATCTTAATCGGATTTTGAAGTGGCATACCTCTAAATGTTTCTGGCGCAATTCTCTAAAAAACTGCATTCAAATTAAAAATTTTTTTTTTTTAATTTTTTTTTGTATTTTTTTGATGTGGTGATGTAGAAATTCAAAAAAATGAAGAAATGTCCAAAGGCTGAACTTCTAAACTCCATAACTCAACTTATCTTAATCCGATTTTGAAGTGGCATACCTCTAAATGTTTCTGGCGCAATTCTCTAAAAAACTGCATTCAAATTTAAAAATGTATTTTTTTTTAAATTTTTTTGATGTGGTGATGTAGAAATTCAAAAAAATGAAGAAATGCCCTAAGGCTGAAGCTAGCTCTAAACTCCATAACTCAGCTGATCTTAATCGGATTTTGAAGTGGCATACCTCTAAATGTTTCTGGCGCAATTCTCTAAAAAACTGCATTCAAATTTAAAAATGTATTTTTTTTTTAATTTTTTTAAATTTTTTTGATGAGGTGTAGAAATTCAAAAAAATGAAGAAATGCCCTAAGGCTGAAGTTCTAAACTCCATAACTCAGCTGATCTTAATCGGATTTTGAAGTGGCATACCTCTAAATGTTTCTGGCGCAATTCTCTAAAAAACTGCATTCAAATTTAAAAATTATAACTGTTACTCGTAGAGTAAATAGGTCGACATTCTATCTTGTTTTATATTTAAGACGATCTATTATTAAAAAGTAAATAATAAATTAGACTTTTTTTATATTAAGCAATCTTTGTTTAATTATTGTTTCAACACAACGTTAAGGAGCAAAATAAAGGGGTGAGGGTTTTCTGTTTAATTTTACATAAACTTTTATCTCTATATTCGCCGAATCGTCTGTGCTCAAAACGAAGAACATTAGTTCAAGAAGAACTCGATAAGGTTGGTCAGCCGACGCATGTTGACGTAGTTGACCAACACGGCGTATGCGTAACAGGTGTAGATGTAGGCCCACCACTGGAAGTGATACGGCTCCTTGGATCCACCGCCACCACGAAGACGTCCGAATACCATGTAACCATTACTCTGCAGGACGTGGGCGTGGTGCCGCTCGGTGAGGAGGCGGCGGAATACCGCTCCGCTGAGGTAAACGACGGTCAGCAGCAAAATGAGGCGCCGCAGGTGCACCAGTAGCAGAGCCATTATTTCGCTTTCCGGCGATCTGCAGAAGTCAACTTAATTTTTCATCACTTATAAGACACTTATTAATGGCGTATACCTCAGAACGATTTCCGTGATTTTCAGATTTTACAAGATAATATTTACCGCAGAGCGTTCGATTTATTTTCGCATTTACGGCAGCTCTTTGCATTCCACCTTGTCGTTTTGTTTTCGTCGCATTTTTCGCCTTCCTCTGTGGTGGATTTATATATAGACATCGGATAATTATTTGTGCTGGCAACTCCTGGCAAAAGTTTTCCGAAACACATAGTTTTGAAAAGACATTACTAAAAGCTTTTTGTCTTTGGCGGCAAATAATTTATGTATGTTTCGTTAAGCTAGAATTTTCAATTTATTTATGTGTTGCAATGCGTCCAAGCAAATCCTATCAAAAATTGTCAGTGCTTGCCAAATCGAATTCAAATCCACTTCAGATGGAGCATACCTCTTCAGATAGCTATCAGCGCTTCTGAAATAAACTGCTTCTAAGTACTACCATAAAAAATATCCCAAAAATCAACAGGCTGCATCCGTTTAAGATCGATGCTTTCAGGGGCGGATCTTCAGATGGGGCCATCAAAAATATTTGCTTACGTGGAAAAAGAGTAACAGTGAAACCTCAACAGCACTGGCGTCCGCCCCTGCGTATACGCATTGCGTATACGTAATATTACCGTGCACGAAACGAAAAGAAATACTTGAGACCCAGGCACACACTTCTGACAACAGCTCCATGCAATGCAACCTTGAAACAGCGATCAAATCCGCAGAGCAGCCCAAACAACAACACATCCCCACATATTTGTCGGAAAAAAGCAAACAAATCCGCTTGAAGATTGCAACACGCAGTGAGGTTGGTTAAGAACAACAGCAACAGGCGGCGGCAAAATACAATATTTAAATTAAATATTAGCACACCAAAACGGAGCAGATCGCTGCCTGGAAAATGGGGAAAATGTGAGACGAATGTGTGGCAATAGCCATTCATCTACAGCCGAGCGGAAAATGAAGATGTAAATAAAAAAGATGAACAAAAACATGAACCAAAAAACTATTAACTGTAAATTGGGGCTCATTGTATCTAGCTGTGACAAGGCAACTAAAAGGGCAGAAGCCAAAATATGTTTGATGTTCTGTACTTTGTTTATACAGAAAAAAAAAAATGGTGTGTATAATTTTATAGGCTTTCGGGTCAAACAACCGCCTGTTAAATCCAAATTCCAATAGGGCAATATGTTTAGGAAAATAAAATTACTAAATATATTAAATTTAAAGAGTATAAAAAACTGGGAGATTAAGTAGGAAACTAATATTTAAAACAAGAGTTAACCTAATTCTAGAATGGATTTCAGAAATTTTTCTAGAATTAATTCAACAATTTAATACCGCATTTCGTCTACGCATTGTATTTCTTTCTGGAAATATTTTCTCCTAATAAAGTCTGACCACAGAATTATATTTTATGAGCACGCAAACAAATCGCTGCTGCTTGGAGCGCCATCCCAATTCCAGATCCCCATTCCTGGGCCCCCAAATTGGGGTTCCTCCCCCTGGGCAACATCGCACTCTATTCGTTTTATTAACTAGCGTGTGCATCGTTTTATTGCATAATATGTCGCTAAAGGCACGCCCCCAAACACACTCGTAAATTACAAATTTGTAAAATCGTACGAAATGATTGAAAGGCCCACAGATTGGCCACTGGGATGCGGATGAAGTTGGAGCTCCACTCGGCGAGCAGATCGCATCGCCAAGGAGACCCGGGCAGGCACTGAGAAAAAACCCTAAGAAATATATTTGGATAATTTCAAAGCGTTTGGTATATCATTTCCATTTGGCAACGATAAAATCTAATTACTCCCGTTTTCATTATGCTGAATGTAAGCTTGGATGCATTTGTAAGAATTTTCAACAGTTGCATCTCGTTGAGAATCCTTGTAAAGCTAGGGATTGTAATAATAACAATTATTATTTATTCTTTCCATAGATGAAACATAAGTTCATCTGTTTTTTTCTGTGCAGATGAGCGTCTGGGAATCGGGGTTGGCATGGGCCAGCATGATTGACCGACTGCGTGGTGCACCTCGCTGTTGCTCCCGGGGATTGCCGGGTCTGACTTTTATGGCTGTCGGTGTATTTCTTTTTATTGGCTGCCCAAATCCGTTTCTAGTTTTCCACCGCCACCGTTCCTCTTGATTTGTTTGCATTCAGCCTTTCAGTTTTCGGATTTCGGTTTTCAGTTTTCAGTTTTCAGCGTTTTTTCTGGGTTGCGTTGGCGTCTCCGGCGGCAGCACGCACTGGAAAAATATTTGTGGAAAGCATGCGAAATGCACGCCTGTTGTGGATCTTTTATATTTTTTAATGCACCGCTGAAAGCTATTTGTATCTGTCGGTCAGATTGGGTTAAGACTAAGACGCCGCCCCTGCGTGTCTTTCGTCAAAGTGTCGAGCCACTTTGCCGGTGGCTATTAGCCCATTGATGCCGTTGCCGTTGCCGATGCCGATGCCGATGCCTTTGGCTTTTCCACTCCACGCCCTTTCATTCCTTGTGATTTAGCATCTTTGTCTGATTTATGGCGCAAGCGTTCTATTTCACTGGCATACTATTTGGCATTTTGCGCATATTTAGCTTAAATGTTTCTAGTAAAGCCGAAACGAGTGCCAGTTTTTGTTTCGTTTCGTATTTAGACGTCATCTTTTTAGCCGCCGCACGTTTCCGGTGACTGCCGGCAGCAGTGGCAACTGCAAAAGTGGCACAAAGATTTTTATTTTTAAAACCAGAACAAATATGCGATATGTGTCGTTGTCTTCTGCATGATATCTGTGATAGTTTCCCCGGCCATTCTTTGATGCACATATTAACCGAATAATGAAAGCGCGGCGCAGAGGCTAAGTAAATAAGTCAGGGCTTTCCATGATATTAGGATATATGCAGATATATGGAACTAAAGCAATCTGATTTGGTGGAGGGAAATGAAAGGGTTCGATTGCAAAAGAACATAAACAATACTCGGAGGAAGGCTTTTTAATTTGTTTAGTTGAGAATAATTTGAAACCGTTTCCTACTGTAAGAGATAATCCGAGGGGACACCTCTTCAGGTTGTAGACCCGCGAGATCTTTGGCCTGCCTTTCGCTGTCTTTCATTCATGAGAACATGACAGACCGCATCTGTATCTGTAGATGACAATTATTGTTTGCATCATACATACTTTTTGTGTCACTTTCTGGATACCCCATGCTCCCACTCACCGATTAGTCACCGATGCCGAAAATATTTCAATTAAATTATTCGACTTATAATGGACCGAAATAGCTACGATGGAATGAAGCGGCCCAAATAGATGCAAAATATTTCAGAGTTGCATTTTGTGAGCATTACAAGAATTTTTACGCATTTCCTTACATTGCGGCAGTTGAAATCGAGAAGCTGGCACATATAGCCGGTTGGCCGATTTCTGTCAGATATATATGGGGACCAGATACACACGGGAATGGAAAGCGATGGATCCATGACACACGCATCCTTTAATGCTCTTTGTTATGATTATGGTTTTCTTTGTTGCCAAATATTGCACAATGTATTTCAGTTTTTTATTTAACTCAGTTTAAAATTCTCTGACTATAAGGTATAAGTTAAGTAGTTTATTTTAATAAATTGTCATAATTACATTTTTTTCTTAAATTTTTTGTAAAAGGTTTCATTGGTGACCAATATTTTGCCAAAATTACTTGTCTGCTTCCACAGCCCGGGAAATTCCTTGTCCGTTCAAGGGAGAACCTAAATGAATTGTCCGTTAAAGCTATGTTTGAACTAACAGCGATACCCTGTTTCAGGGTATGCTAAGAACTTTTATTTGTTTCTCGATTGCAATTTACAAATGCGATCGCCGACTGAGGAGAGCCGGCAGAATCTCCGAGAGCTTCATCTCCGATCGAATCTCTCGCTTGCCGAAAATACACGCACACTCAAAGCGAGAGCGGCGGAGATTTTCCTCCACTCAGCTTTTCACGCAATTCGGTGCGAGGGAAAATCTCGGCACAAAAATATTTTCACAGCGGCCAGACAGTTTTCCTTTGACAACGCGCCGAGTCGCACATGAATTTCCTCTCGGCCGGCTTCGATACGATTTCGCTGTGGGCCAACAAAAAATCGAGAACTGAAAACAAAAATCGCGCTGTTCGCATGCGACAAAATCTTTCAGCGAGTGTGTGAATGTTGCTAAATTTATAAATAACAGCTTAAGTTGTGCTGCTCCCAAAGTAAATTGAAATAAAAGCAAAAGTGATATGCGTCCGTCGTCGTGAAACGGAAAACGCAGGCGATGGAAAATGGGAAAATAGGAAAAAATAAGAATAATATCAACGCATAAATAAAGCGCGAGCCTCGCGTCCGATTCTGTCGCATTCGCCGGCTGCATTTCCCAAATAGATCGGGCTGCCATAGGCTATATCTGCTCGTATGCCCTATAGGCACCACCAGTATACTTGTATATCCCAAACCTGCCCGGTGCGTGCCGGTGGATTATGTAAAGTGGCACACGGCCGATCCCGATCTCGGAATATCGTCGAGCGCGAATAAAAGCAAAGGAAATAATAGCTTACTAAGCGGAGAAGAAATAAATACAATAAAAGAGTAAAATGGAATAAAATAGGGGAATGCAGAGAGAGTGTCGTAGAAATTTGTCGCACGCGCGCGATTTCAGTAAGTGCATCTAATTTATTTTGCATCTATTGCAATTGAGAGGCGGCATCCGCCAGATACGTTTTCGTAATTGTCGTCAGCGGTTCGAGTTCCTCCGCTTCGATCTCGCGCGAGTGTTTGCCAGATTGGATTACCATAGCCAGGCCATACCAAAATAAATTATACACCATTTTTGAAAGGGTGATAAACATATTGTGACCGAATTCTGATCAGAGCTGCGATCGAGGGCCGATTGCCAAAAGCAACGTAATGTCGTCCTACCGCAGTTATGTAAGTACTAGTTAATGCAGCGCCAACTATCCGTATCTGTATCTGCATAATACCTACTCGTACTATATAGTGTGTATCTCGATCTGTGTATCTTCGCTCTGTGCCTTTTTGCAATTCTTCGCTTCCACGGATTTTGTTTATTTCTAATTTGTTGCCTTACCTCACACACGAGTATTTGGCAGATACATACGTATACGTTTTATATGGCAGATAAAATGTATCTGAAAGTTTGCTCTCGATGTGGTTGGCTCCAGATCCATTGATAAACAATTCAGATACAAATTTGCTCATTGTCTGGTTCTTGGTTGGGATTTGTGTCTAGTTGATTGTTCTAATTTCCTATCCACACAAATAGCTCAAATTATGGCCGAGGTGTGGCTACTGAATGAAGGAATTGTTTAGTGTTTGAATAGCGAACCAATTCATGAATAAATGGCTTTTACTTTTGGCAAAGCAGGTTAAGTGCCGAATTTTAAACCTATTTAACTTGATTTATGTTATGCACAGTTGTCAAAGAAATTCAGTTTCAGTTATTTGACAGATTTTATGGCAGATTCAAGATTGCTCTGGCCAATGACTGACAGTTCCCAAGTAAATATTTTGGTTTATTTATTGACCTTATCAAAATATTTATTTATATTTATTTTTCTTAAAAATCAACAAGTTGTTCAACAAGAAAAGTGCATCATTTTTTAGACTATATATAATATATACGCTATAATCTCAATACAACCACTTAATTTCGGATCTCATTCCCCAACTTTGATCTCTTTGTACTAATCCCCTTTATGTTCAACTCATTAGATCCTTTCCTTCCC